CTTCCATGCCAGGTGTCACACTAGGTGCTGGGGACCTAAGGACAGCTAAGACATGGTCTCTTCTCGAAGGGTAAGGGCACAGCCACGTAAACAGAATACTAACGATACCAGGTGAGGACTGGAAGAGGGGCACATAGAGGGGCTGCCTATAGGTGGTACATATAGGTATAGGGGAAACCATTTATTCTGTCTGGGGCTATAAGGAGGCGCTCACAGAGATGGTTTCTGAACTGGATTTTGAGGGCAGGGAAGGAGGATATGCCCAGGAGAAAAAAGGGTCTTGCAGACAAACAGCACAAACACGGGGCAATGAATGTGCAAAGCCCATCTAAACGAGGGTAATTCCTTTGACTGGGGTAGAGTTTGTGTAGCACTGCCCACAAGGAAAATCAATTTTCTCTCTGAATCTCTCCGTGTACTACTGAGCAGCTATAATTCGGATATTCTTAATTCAAACCCCTATGGACTTTAAAAAAATAAATGAAAATGCCATATTTAAAAATGATGCCAGAATTTAAAAAGACATTTTAACATTTTAATAATGTCATTCAACAAATATTTGAATACCCCAGGTACTCTGCTTGGGGTAGAGGAAATACAAAAATGAAGACGAAATCTTATCTGTAGTATGAACATTGAGTTCTGTTCCCGCATCTGCCACTAGCCAGCTGTTAACCTTGGAAAAAAATCACTAAACTACTCTGGGCATATTTTCTCATCTTTGAAGTGAGTAGATTCCATCAATGAGGTTCTGTCTCACTCTCCCAAAGTATGTGTTCAATGATACAAGATCAAATCTCTCAAAAACATCAAGGAGAGGAGCAATAATAAAAAATGGCTTCACCAAGACTGATGGGAAATCCCCAGGAATTCTTGACATCCCCCCACATCCGCCCCAGCAGCAATGCAGGAAATCTAGTCCACTATCTCCAGCAGACTCAATGGAACCATTTCCTTAATGAAACCCCCCTGTAGTCCCAGATGCTAAGCCAGAGGCTTTCCTTTCAAGCCTTCCCTCAATTACCCCATTCCTCCCATTTCCTTCCTCTCCTTCAATCTGGTATAAAACCCAGTAATTTAATCAGCAGCATGCACTTTCCAAGCACCCAAGTGTGTAAGGAACCACCGGTAATCCTGAAAAGCATGTGGGAGGAGATCTTGTCATTCGGAACCAGCTCACCAGTATGCTAAAGCCGATGGAATGGAGTGGATTCTTCTGTTCTAGTAAATTGGTGAAAACCAATGCAGCAGATGCTTCTAATGCTTTGACCCCTTCCTAATAATATATTTTTACTTAAAAAAAAAAAAAAAAAAGGCCAGGTATTACTTCAAATGTCCTTCCTCCCCTACCCACAATAACAAAAATTACTCTGAAAAATTCTATGCACTCGATATCCAACAAATTCCTGACCCAACTGAACCAAGAACCTAACACCAGCAAGCTTTGGATTTCACACCCAAATGCCAACAGAGCATCCCTCACTTGCTCTCCATTCTTGTGCCCATTCACATACACATCTCAACTTAAAGCACTACAGAAGCTACTGCTCTGTTATTTGTTCTTGCTTTGCAGAACTTTCCAAGGCAGAATAAATACCAGCCATAACTTTGCAATAGGTTGGATAACCATCCTCTAGGACATGCCACCTTTTTGGGTCAATACAAAACCATTTTTTTGCGACATATAATTTTCAACTTCAATATCCTATGCTTTCAAAGTAGACTTAGAATGTCTCAGTAGTTTTTGGTAAGGAGAACAAAGTGATTATTTGGTTTGTTCTAAAAGTCATAAAATAGAGATTTAGTATCCTCATTGAAATATAAACTTCCTTTAGAATAAAGTGAACATTGATGATAATAATAAAAAGAAATGCATATGGGTCTAAAATGACTGGCATCCTTAGAAGAGATAATGTAACTAGAGTTACACGTTCTGCTTTAAAAAAGAAAAAGAAATCCTAAGATAATGATTAGTACTGGCTTGGGCATACTCTAATAGCTTAGCTCTTGCAATCCACTAAAGATCAAGTTAATTGGTCAGGTGCATTCTGCCAGTGAAAAAGAAAATACAGTGTGATTACTGATAGCAGGGGAAACCCTGTTCATCCTTCTAGCCTAAGCTCTGGCGCCACAGGGTTTACTATCCATTCTCTATGCAAATGTAGGTAAGGGAAGGAGAAAAAGAGACACCGTGTTCAACCCATTTCTTGGCATCAGTCATTGAATTTTAGAGTTGGGAAAGGGTCTTAGAAATATCCATCTATTCTAACTTCTGAATTTTACATATGAAAACAAAAAAAAGCCTCTTAGGTTTCACTAGAAAAGAAACCAGATAGCTTTTTATAGAATTTTCAACAGGGAAAGAAAAACTTCAAATAACAATAAACAAATAAGATAAAAATATTGGGGAACTAGACTAGTGACTACCTACCATTCACCTGCAACATGATCCATCAGTTGGAAAATTAATTGGATTGCCAAATGTGCTATAAATAATTAAAGTTTTCAATATGCAATTCAAAAAAACAACCCAAAAGGTGTGGCTGCATAAATCTTGGGGAAAACAACAAAAATTTTTATGTAAAATGAGCTTTATTATGAGATTTCTTACATTCAGTTTAGAAATGGGTATTATAATCATCTACATTTTAATTTAACTTTGTTATTAATGTAGACTTCCCTCACAAAATTCACAAGTGAAGCATTTCCAGTTAGTTACAGCAAATTTTAAATGCTAGCTGCTCAAAAACTCAAGAAAAATGGGGTCAGAAAAAAGGGATCTGTGGCTTTAATCAAGAGCCCGGTGACTTAAAAGTAAGAAAGAGAGACTTTGTGTGGAGCAGAGGACTGGTATCCTTTTAAGAGGAAGACGTTGCAATACAGAGTACTTAAAAGTGTCTGAATTATTGGCATCTTTTTAGTTCCCAGGGTATTTGTGAGAAGATCATTAAACTCTTCGGGGGGGAAATGCATTATCTTTCGTATTACTGAATCTCTGGTTATCTTACCCCTCAAGGCACACCTGCACATCACACACACACAGTAATAATCACTGATGAATACGCAAAGACTCTATAGCGACTGAAAGTAAGCAGACCGGGCTCTTGGTGGTGCAAGTGAACTTTACGAGACAGAAACTTGGGCCCCTTCTGCACCCTCTTCCCAGAGCTGCAGCCCTTCAGTTCAGTTTAAAAGTCCTGATTTGGTCTAGAAAGCACGTAGCGACTGTTTCGCTGTGAGATGTCTGTCAAACAGTCAAGAGAAACCTGTGGTCTGGGAAGGCAGGTTGCGCAATTACAAACGCCAATAGATGGCAGAATGTTCCTTAAACCAGAAGGTAAAGGGGTTCTCACCTTGCCAGTATTTTGTCTTGCTTTCTTCCTATAACACATATGTAAATTTTTTAGAAATCACAAACTAGTTCCAAGGTTCCTGCCTCGTTTTCAGTAAAATAATATCTAAGAGAAATCATAAGAGGATCTCCAGTTTCTGACAAACTTCCACAGATCTAAGTGGTCCCTAATCGCAAAGAGAACTATACTTCACTAGTCAACCACAGTTTTGAAACAAAAATAAAGTGATATCTGTGAGAAGCAGAAAATTCAATAAAACATATATTCTTCCCTCCATTTGTTTGGACTTACAGTAATTTACCTAGATTTACCTTTACATAATAGACAGATAGACTTCAGTAAGTTATTTAGATGCTCTAAGCAATTGTTTAAAAATAAGTGACTTTTCAAAACGAAAAATTCATTGTTGAATTAGAGCAGCAATATCTCATTTCAGTAGTTATGTTAGCAACTTTTTCCAACTTACAGCGGGTTCCTTAGACATTATGACTGCGCCTTGCCTCTCGGGTTAGTGGTTTCACCAATCTAATTGGGACTATTGCTTGTTATTTAGAAACTGATGGCCTAATTAGTCTTCCCACTGAGAAAGAACATTTAACTGTTACAGCCTTTGGGGTTTAACAAGCATTTAAAAAAATCTGCTCAACTGTACTGACTTCCTTCCCCGAATCACTGCAGTAACTTATTTTACGTTACTATCTTTTGTTCAGGGGGACAGAGCCACCGGCTTGGCCGCTCAGCCCCGCCCGGCAGAGACGCGACCCGGGCCCGTGAATCCCCTCGGGCTTCAGCGGCTCCGCCGGCAGCCTCCACCCCCCAGCGGAGTGGCCTCCTGGCCGGGACCTTTCTGCCGCGGGTTTCTCTAACCCCCTGCAAAGGGGCGGAGAGCGCCAATTGCTCAAGCCACATCTTTTGGTCCAAATCGTCCGCCTTTTCTTCTTTCGGAATTTAAAGGCTTGCAATTCCGAAACTTAACGGTATTTGGGTTCTGGACTGCCCGCGTCGGCGACCTGGGCTGGACGGTGGAAGGGGCCCCACCCTGGTGGCTGCGCGCAGCGCCCTCCAGCCCCGGGGTCCCGGGCGGGCGAGAGGAGCGGACACTTGTGGAACAGTCCGTGGGCGGTCGGGCTTGGGGGCCCTAAGTGGGTTGAAGGATACCAGCTCTTCCCATCTCCCGGAATCTGTCTGATCCCGGCAAGCACGCAAACCCCTCCAAGTGGGCTCTCCTCCTTCCCTTTCAAGACGCGACGTCGTGGCCAGTGCCCAACATCGCCATCGTCGGGCTTCAGCCCGGTCCCCGGGAGCCGAGGCGCCGGACTCCGGATGGCCCCTGGGACCGGCCGCCTGGGAACAGGTCTGAGGGTCAGGCAGGTCCCGGGGCGCGACGCTCCCCGAGCCCCGAGCCCGGCAGAGAGCGTCAGCGCCGAGGGGCCGCCTCGGTGCCATCCGGGCGGCGATGCCCGCGGGCTCCTCCAGCTGCTCTCCGAGCCGCGCGCCCTGACCACCCCGCGGAGGAGAAAGGCGCCGTGACCCGAGGCGCGCACAGTGAGGCCCGTGCCCAGGCTCCCGCCGAGGGTCGTCTCCCCTCGTGTCCCCGGCCCTAGGGAGTGCCCCTGCCTCCCTATCGCCGCCCCGGCCGCGCCTAACCTGTGAGAAGCAGACCGCTGAGCAGCGCGCACAGCAGGACGCCGGTGTCCCAGCAGCAGACCATGGTGAGCGCGACGTGGCCTGCTCGCCGGTGCCCGCGCTCCTGGCGGGCGACTGACCCCGCTGCCCGAGCTGGTCTTGTAGCTCTCCGCCGCCGCCGACCCCGCACGCCGGCCCCGCGCCCCGAGCGACCCCTCTGCGGCTCCAGGCGGGGAGACAGCCACTTGTCGGGTAATCCTCGCAGCC